CCCCGCAATAAAACGCGTACCTTCCCTAACAAAAGTTAATACAAACAGGCACTAACAACTTTATGCTAGAAGTGTTCGGTAATGCAAATGGCTTCAGGCTATGTTTATAACAAAAGCGGTCAGCTGAAAAGGAAGTTAAAAATAATTAGAATGGAGAATTTAACTGAAGAGCTCATTGTCATTACAAAACCACCCGTCAAACTAGATGCACAATGGCAAATATATTTGCATACGTAATATCACTTACTTCCATCCGAGCAAGTGTCAACACTAAGTCAACTTGAGATATTCCCGATCCTAATGATGACTACCCCAAGCGTTGATGTGGTACTAAAAATAATCCCAACCAATGTAGCAGTCGAACTGAAAATGTACGCTGAAAAGCATAGCTTACACTGCGCGAAAATACGCCGAGGGAAACAGATAACAGAAGCAGATGCCGACTTAAGTGAAGCACGCACTCGCATTGCCTTTTTCAAAGAGAAATGCAAGGGCTGGTTATCAGACAAATCTTGCCTACAAATCGAGAAAATGCTTGAGTATGCCGGTTGGCATGCGGCAGACACCAAGAAAAGCGACACTTGCTGGCGACGTGGAAGTCGAAAAGGTTACGAGAACGACGCTAGTATCAACAAAAGGTTACTAGAACAGCATTACCAAAATGTCGTCAAGGAAAAAGAGATATCGGAAACTTTGGCGGCAAACGTAAGAGATATGGGCTGGGCTGCTGCTTGGTTTGCTGTCAATACAATCTTTGGTCACCAGGAAGAAGCAAAACGCCAGAAAGAAAAGTTGGATTTACATTTCGACAAGATACACGGAGAAATCCATGTGGCTGAAATTCTCTCGCAGAGACCACAAATAGATAATGATGATAATGCGACATTTGGCGATATCGAGCCACTCGAAATACTTCCTCAGGATGTCGCGGAGGAATTAAAACAGTACGCTGAAAAGGCAGCCTGGAGCTGTTCTAAAAGATGCTTCGGCGGTCGTGGAGAGGCAGATGCCCACAAAATTGAAGCGACGGACCACTTCCACTCCTTTAGAAAGAAATGCAACGGGTTGTTATCAGACAGGTCATGCGAAGATATCAGGTCAATGATTAAGAATGTCGCTTCGTACGTAACAAACAAAACCATTAGTAAAAAGCGTTGGTGGATTACTAAGCGCAACCAGTACAAAGCGTATGCTGTCAGTTGCGAGGGAAAATTTCATGCGAAGAACCAAGACATCGTCAACAGAGGAGAAATATCTCAAACGTTAGCTACATACTTGTTAGAACTTGGCCGGAACGCAGCACTGCTCGCTACACACACCATCGTTGGACGCCATGACGATGCAAAGCGCGATCAAGCAAATTTGGCCTGGTATTTCAACAAAATACATGGAGAAATTAACCTAGTCGCTATGAATTTCATCCTGGACGAGGCCAAAATCTTGTCGCAGACGCCAAAAGTAGTATCTAAAAGAAACCTGGTGAACAACAGTGATGTAGATCAAGCCATGACGTTTAGCTTCTCCATGACTGAAGGAAAAACCCATTCTACTTCACATACTATCGGCTTCAGATATGGCATCAACTCGAGTTTTAAGGCGGGCTTCTCCGGATTTGGCGAGGTGAACTTCGAGCTTTCTTTTAGTTTCTCGCACAGCCATACTTTTGAACAGTCTACAAGGACTGGTACCACCAAGTCGGTTGAATTCCCGCTGTCAGTTCCCGCACATTCCACTTACGTTGCTACCGGGATGGTGTCTGAAGCCGAAATGGAAATCCCTTACGAGCTGGTGTTCGACTTTGGTGGTGCACACAGAAAACTAAGAGGACACTGGAAAGGAATTGCATGCAGCAAGGCTGAGTATCAAGTCGATCGTTTACCAGGACCACGGCCAGCTGAGGAAAATGATGTAGAATGGTATTGTAATATTTTATAACTTTTAAAATATTTAGGTTTAAGCCTTTTTAATCTTACTCAGTCATAGCAAGGTTTTTTTTCTTAGTTTAGTGTCCCTTATAACATGAAAATCGTAGTTACGCAGATGATGAGCTGTAATTGATTAAAGACGGTTCTAAAGCTACTTGGCTGTATTTTATGGGAAGCATTTAGATGTAAAAAAATCTTCATCAACGTTTGACTGAGGAGGCAGCATGGCCGAGTGGTTAGGGTGCCGGTCTTGAAGACCCTTGAAATCCGGAGGTTTAGGGTTCAAGTCCTGCTCTGACCACTAACCTGGTGATGTTTCTCTGTACACCCTAGTTCAACTCCTTGGTCATGCTTGTAAAAAGCCAACTGGTCTGCCTCCCACAAGTTGGGATTTTTATTAAGCGTATTATGTTTATTTGAAATATTTCTTTCTTTCAGTTTAAGTGGCATGCCTCCGATTTAGCTACATGCAGGTGTTGCTACGTAAGCGCATTTTCCACCATAACACTTTTAGCTTCGTCGATTATATCAATATGTATCAACATGTCACATTTTTGCAGCGTTTTAGTAAGTTAGTTGTACTGAATTTGCTGTGAAGTAGAACAAGCTCGAGTAAATTTTTTTCTGATCAAATTTAAACTAATAAAATAACCCATAAACCTGAAACAGAATTTCGTTCCTGTGTACAGAACTTAAGCCATTTGTTTGATTTGTTCTGATCTAGAAGTCCGCAGTCCAGTCCAATTCCAGTCCAATTCCAGTCCAATTCCAGTCCAATTCCAGTCCAATTCCAGTCCAATTCCAGTCCAATTCCAGTCCAATTCCAGTCCAATTCCAGTCCTTTTCTTATCTTATGTCAGCTTTGAAACGCATTTGTGCACATCGAAATTAAGAGAAGGTTTGTCTTGAATAACTTTCTTGTTTGTAAGTCTTATTTGGTTCTTCTTCTGTCCTGAGTCAGCTATATATGATCATATTGCCTTCAACCCACCGATTTCTGAGACGCCGGGGTACACAAGCGAAAATCCTAGGGAGGGCGATCATTTCGCGTGAGAGCAGCAAGACTTTGCAACTCCGTTCCATATTTTTTAAAGAAAAGGGAAAGTGTACATAGTTTTTAAAAGGGCTTGATTGATTTTTATACGTCTAGTATTAAAGACATTCATCATTTTACAGTTTTTTTAATTTGTACGGTTTTAATTTTTAATATTATAATGTAATATGAATTTACCTTTTAGCTAATCTTGCATACATTCTCGACTTTTATTTACCAATAGGTCCTTAATAGATTTTTAATTATTGTATATTTTAGAGGGCCACAAGTTTATTAGTAGTATAACTATTAGGTGTTTTACCCTCTATAAATAAATATTGATTGATTGATTGATTGTTTAACTGATTGATTGATTGATTGATTGTATGATTGATTGATTGATTGATTGATTAATTGATTGATTGATTGATTGATTGATTGATTGAGTGAGTGAGTGAGTGAGTGATTGATTGATTGATTGATTGAAACAATTTGGCGTCAGAAACCGTGAAAAGTTTTGTTTATCTGGGTCTTTCATACGAGATTTCCAGTTCCTAACGGGCGAGAGTATGGGCACCACCTCACAAAACCCCTTTCAGCCGAGAGGACTGGGATTAAGATAGGCCTAGTCATTTGTCTAGCAATAGGGGCGGGGCAGAAGACCCCATACAAACTCTTATATTACGCTTGGATGATCTGTGGTTCGAAGCTGCACATTCAATATCAAAGTTTTCTGTGATGATCAGTCGAAAATCACAAGGGTGAATGAGAACTGATCCCTGAGCCATCGAGGCACAGACACAACTTACATTGCAGTTGCACTTTTGGTCACTTTTCATAAATTGTTGTTTTAACCACAAGCATTTTCATTGAGCCTGTATGAAAAGAACGGTTATTTTGTTTTCATTCATTGACGAATTTTGTCCAAATGTGGGCTTTGAACAGTTATTTTTGTTCCGTTTGACCAATGACACAGGAAAGCCAGCTAAATGCTTGACCCCTTTGATTTCTTGTTTGGCCATATAATAAACATCCTGTTAACCGAGCTCAGTTAATAAAAACTAAATAGAGACAAGGTTTATAAGAAGAAAGAAACAAGAAACGAATGAATCCAATATTCAGCCATCTTGACTGAACAAGCTCGGTCACTTAAGGTTTAGTATGTTGGTTTCAAGAAAATTTTTTCTTGTGCGTAATCCCAAGTTGGCACTGGAAAATTTGAACCATTTACAGACTTCAAGAAAGTTCGTTAAATCTCCGTAAAATGTCCACATTTCCTTTGTAAATTACAATCTCTGAAAATTTGCTTTGTAATCTCTATAAAAAGTCTGTAAATATCAGTACGTGTTTCGCTTTCAGATCGCTTAAAATGTCCGCGAAATGTTGCTATTTTTCTTGTAAATTTTGTGTAAAATTTACAGATGTTTTATAGCATATAAAGAAATCTCTAAAATCTCCACATTTTCTCTGTAAAAAGGGCAGAAGAAAAAATCTCTGTAAAATGGAAAGCATAAAGTCTCATATTATGTCTGCAGGATCTAAGCTAAAATAAAGTGTCAGTAAAATCTACACAAATAAACCACACATAATGTCACACAAAAGTACACGTCTGTAAAATGTAAGCATTTTATTGGTATAAATCTCTGCAAAATGTCCACATTTTCTCTGTAAAATCAGCCTGTACAAAAGGAAATGGTGCAAAAGCCATGACATAATCTCAATAAACTCCACGTAACAAGTGAACTGGACATTGCATAAAATCTTAGTATAATGTACACAAATAAACTGCACAGCAGGTCAAACAAAAGTACACATAATGTCTGTAAAATCAACAGGAAGGTATTGAGAACATTATCTTATTAAACTTATTACGAGGAGAGTTTTGTAAAAAGCAAACTAAGGATTGCGACAGGTACACACAAAATATAACAACCTTTGTGCCTTTCAATAACGAATAAATTGTGAAGTTCAAAGTTATGTAACTAACAATTGAGATTTACGCTGCGCATATCAAAATTATGACAAAAAAGAAAGGACCTTGAGAAAGATACATCCTCAAACAAACTGGATCAAACTGGTGGCAAGACCTTTTGAACCAACAGAAAATTTTTGTTTGCTGAGATATTCCCAAGACAATTAACAGCAGTGTAATTTGGTAATATCTTCCCATCAATGAAATATATGAAACTAATAAGTCCACCTTGATGTTCATTTTTTTTTACACTACTGTACAAAACCATTACTAATACTACTATTGTTAATACTACATTATTAATAATAGCTGATTTAAAACACTTGTCTAAAGATACATGTATCATAGCAATAAGAAAAATTCAATCTGCAATATCAGCAATCAATAATACAGTCAAAGCTCTCCCGGCAGCCGTCTCAAGAATTCAAAACAGAGCTCTTATAAACAACCAGGTATTGACACAATGTAACCTGGTCTTTTATGTGAACTTTAATGTACATGTAAATGGTCACTCTCTCATGTGAGCTTTTAGCATTCAATTAGTCTGAGGCATGTAAGTGTTCATATGAGGTATTCTCAGCAGTTGTATATATTCTAAAAATAATTGCCTTTGATACATGGCAGAGATTCTTGGATTAACAGGTAAGGTAGCTACATGTACAAGTTTCAGATTGAAAACTGCAAATCTCTTATTTGGATGATGAAAATTAAATACTGCACACTCCTTTAATGGCTGCTTGAAAGAGCTTTAAAAAAATTTATAAACAATTAGATCAGCCAGTACTTCCCAGAGGTGGTCATGGTTGCTAGGGGAGAAGATGCATATCAGAGCTTTTAACTGCAGTGAGGGTGAGGATCCAATTTAAAAGGGGGTCAAAGTAGTGGTTGTAACTAGATCAGATGTACCCGTAGGTCAGAAACAGTTACAGTTATGCAAAAAATGTTTGCATAACTGTAAAGTACACTTTAACCTCTCACTAAGGACACCTAACAATAAGGACAGCTTATTTGGTCCCAGAAAAACCAGAATTATCATAATCTGTACCTCTATAATAATTATGGACACCTCCATACTATGGACACTCAGCTCTGGCCCTATGCTCTCCATATTTAGGAGGGTCTAATATAAATTGAAAATGTTTCCAGATTGTACATATGTACAGAGCACACAATCAGTTAACATGTAAAAAATTAATTTGGCTGAATATTTGTGTCATCTGAGTGACTCAAAAAGAGCTTTGTTAATGCTTAACCAACAAACATTCATTAAATGATTTCTACCTAATTATTCACATTTAGTAGAATTCTACTAGTATACTAATGTAAATGCTGTAATCTGATTGGCTGAGCCATTGCACACTATCAGCCATAAGTGTTCAGTGGCTTGGTGTGGTTGATAAAATTTCAACGTTTTCTTGTTTCTCCAAAGTTTTGAAAGAGCATTTGGGAACAAATGGATAATTAAATTCCTGAGAAGGCTGAAGAAGGACATTCGCAGTTTCTTGAATTAAAAAGAACTCAAACTTTTTGAAAGAAACTGATAAGCATGCGCCCACAATTGAAAATGTCAAATTGACAATTCAGTCCGCACAAATTCTCTAAAGCATGAAGTTTAATATAAGACCAGACAGTTTTGGAATTGTCATTTGAAGCAAATTTCAGTTAGAATTCTACTAAAACAATTGGATTATTCGCTCCCGATTTCTATGAGGTGATAGGTGATGAGGCCAAAGGCCAAATCAACCATCACCTCATAGAAATCTCCAGCTCATAATGTAATAGTTATGTAGTGCTATCAAATAAAATTGGTTAATCTTGGCAGTACTATACACACATACATTTAAATATAATATACATTTATAACAATGGAATAGTCTACTGAAGCTTGATAGTATTTCCACATTTCTTGTAACGTTATTCTTTCTATTCTACATGTGAAAGAAAGAAAGAGAGAAAGCAATGTCACTACTACTACATAAATGTCCAACATTCGTAACAAAACAAGATGCATGTAAATCACAAGTACATGTACTGTCAAACTGCTTAACAGTGCAGATGGCAAATCTAACAATCCATTATTTTCTAAATAATAATAATAATAATAATAATAATAATAATAATAATAATAAATCAGTATGGAAGACCAAATGTATATTTATAGTGCTATATTTACAATAGTTGTCTACCAGGTAATTGCTGAATATCTTGCATATGAATATCAAGGAGCAATGTACATTTTAATTGACAGCTGCAATACCATTATATTGGTTTGGCTGAGGGATACAAAAAATAAGTGACCTCACAGATCATCTTTCAAATTATTCTCAAATTCCAGTTGATTCTTATTTATGATCAATTAGTAAGGATAGACCTAGATAGATGACACCATTACCCTTTTTTTTGGTTTCTTCATTATATAAAACAGATACTTTCCACATTGCTGTGCATCTGTTCTGTAACTGATCACACAAGACATGACAAAATGTGGTAAGAACATCAGTGACACATGCGGCTATCACATTGTGTGTCACTTTTTTGTTCTCACCACATTTTGGTGTGATCAATTACTGAACAGACGCACAGCAACTACATTTTGACCCCTATTAAACAGCCAACCTCTGGGAAATAGATAGTTTCTACTTAAAGGGGGCTGACCGCTTAATAGAGGTAAAAAAATTAAAATCCCTACTCAATCTTGATTTAATTACTGCACACAATGCAAATGAGAAACAGCATTGTCAAAATATCAGGGATAAACAGACATGTTGATATGGGTCCTGCCTATGAATAATGTTGCTACCTGACAGGCAGAAAGTGTAGTACAGAAGTATTCACTGTATTCATTTAGGAGTACACCACTTATTCCTCGCTAGCAATAATCAATATATTTTTTGCTGTTATTTTCGGGGCGGTGCTTAACAAGTGTAGATAGTCAATTTTTAAACAATTTTTATTTAATATTACTATTATTTGACTGGAAATGGGGTCATTTCAAACAAATCTGGCCAATATTGATTTCTATTAATGGGCCACAGCAATTGGCAAATGTTAACAATACATGTAATTACCGAGGCCATTGACTGCATTTTAATGTCCACGTCTATGACGTGACTGTGATTGTTTTATTAAAAATTTAAGATGTCTTAAAGCCATATCCATGATTGGCCACATTTGAGCAGAGGTCAACTATGTACAACAGGTGAAATGGTATAATCTTCATTATTAAATGTACGTGAGTACTTAGCCGTTGATAGGGCCTCTCACATTTTCAAACATCTTCAGAATTCTGAACG